GATTTCCACTCGCTGTTTAAAAAATCCTGACCTGGGACTTACAATATGGGGGAAATGATCCCCATTCACCCTAGATGGCCGTTGCAGGCAAAGATATAAATATATGCGTGTGTGTATTTGGCAGGGGGTAGAGACCCAGAATGGTAGTGGTTTGAGTGCTAGACTAAGACACTGGGAGACCAGGGTTCAAATCCCCACTTGACTATGGAAACTCACTCGATAACTTTGAGTAAGTCACTTTCTCTCAGCCTCAGAGAATAGCCATGGCAAACCTCCTCTGCAGAAACTTGCCAAGAAAACCCCATGAATGTGGTGGAGTCTCTTTCTTTGGAGGTTTTTAAACAGAGGCTGGATGCCCATCTGTTGGGGATGCTTGATTGTGAGTTCCTGCATGGCAGGGGGTTGTACTAGATGGCCCTTGGGGTCTCTTCCAACTCTTCTAGGATTCTATGATAGGGTCGCCATAAGTCAAAGATGACTTGGAGATACACAACAACCTTCCTTCTAGACCAAGTGGGTTCCCAACCTTTCATTCTCCAGATGTTTTGGACTGAGAGTGTGTGACTTGCCCAAGGTTTCCATAACTGAGCAGGGATTTGAACCCTGATCTTCAAAGTCATAGTCCAAGGCTCAAACCATAACACCATATTGGCTCTCAAAGACAGGGACGCATCTACCCATAAACACACACACAGTGGACATTCGAACTCCCTTCCTAGGATGGTCCGTCTGGCTCCATCCCTTCTGAGTTTCCATCTGGCAGCAAAGAAAAACTGCTTGACCATCTATTTAAAATTAAAGGTTTCTGGCTGTTTTATAAACTGTTTCACTGATTTTAGCATTACTTTAAAAAAAAGAAGTGTTTGAAACATTGTTAATTGGCATAAGTTATTTATCGAATGGTTTTGAATTGGTTGTATTGATTGGGCATCGCCTCCGGCTTCCTGGTGGAAGCAGTCAATAAATGCCTTCAGCACACACATATATACACAGAGGCATACCCAACAGTTAACAAAGCTCCCAATAAAGAAATACCTTTATATTTATATTCATTTATTTAGAGGATTTATATGCTGCCTTTCTCCCAAATTGGGATTCCAGGTGGGTATAAGATCTACAAAAAGATTTTTGCAAAATCTTTTTTATAGCCTCCCCATCTTTTACTCCTCACTCTCTGTCTAGCTCAGTGATTCCCAAACTTTGGTCCTCCAGGAGTTTTGGACTTCAACTCCCACAAGGCTTAGCCACTTATTTGACCAGCAGTCAGGAATTCTGGGAGCTGAAGTCCAAACCATCTGGAGGACCAAAGTTTGGGAAACAGTGATGAGAGAGGACCCGCCGGCACACAGACTTTGGGTGCCAAGCTTTTGAGTGTTAGACAAAGGAGAGCAGGCTTCAAGTCCCTGCTCTGCCATGCAAACCCATTGGGTGACCTTGGGTAAGTCACACTCTCTCAGCCTCAGGGGAAGGCAACGGCACACCTTTTCTGAACAAATCTTGCCCAGAAAATACAAGATAGGTTCCAGCCAGAGTTTTGAATGTTGGGCTACAGTTCGGGAGACCAGGGTTCGATTCCCCGCTCAGCCATGAAACCCAATGGATGATCTTGGGCAAGTCACACTCTCTCAGCCTCAGGGGAAGGCAAGGGCAAATTCACTCGGAACAAATCTTGTCCAGAAAACCCCAGGATAGGTTTGCCTTGGGGTTGCCATAAGTTGGAAAGGACTTGAAGGCACACAACCACCACCGAGGGTCATCCTAAATTGGAAATGAAGGCATACAACGACTTCTCAAATGAGTTGGTCTTCCATCCGCTTTCTTCACTGTCCAGCTTTTACATACAGAGGAAATGGAAATACACCGGTCCGGATGATTCTGGCTTTTGATATTCAAAGATCTCTCTTTGCACTTGAGGATCCCATCTGGTCCATTCAGGGTTGCCTTTCCAAGTCTGAAATCTCAATTATGGCCTCCTATTTTCTTTTGCAACCAAGCCAAGATCTCGGAAGTCTTTAACCATCATCAAACCATTTCAACAGCAGGAACAACGCCATTCGACGCAACGTAAAGTGGTGTTTCTAAAATTGGCTCTTTACAACTTTCTGGAAATGTTCCAACTGTGTTACGGAAGCCGCCTTGGGCGAAAGGGGGCATATAAATAAAATAAAGAAATCAATAAAAACTTAACTGCCCTGGCTCAGTACTAGGGAACGCAGAGATCTGTCATTTTGCGAGCTATTTTCGCCGCCTTTGTCAAGGAACACAGGTGCTGCAACAAACTACAAATCCCCGGGTTGCATGAGAATGAAAGCGGTGTCAACCTGCATTAATTCTTCAATGTGGCTTTAAAGTTATATACATCGCCAGCAGAGAAAAGTTGAGGACAGGAAGGGGGGGAAATAAACATCAAAGTCCTCTTTTCCTTTGCTCAATCCAACCAGTCCCTTTGCTTTCCTTGCGTTAAGCAGGCCAGCCGTAATTAGAATCCGAGGCCGGCGTGCGACAAAGCGCCGACACAAGACTTCGGGGAGTCCGGATTATCCTAAATTGCTACCGAGACTTTTCTTTTCCCCAAAGCCCGCCTTTGCAGCTGCAGGTGGAGGATGGAAAAAGAAAGAAGAAAAATACAATATGCAAAGATTCACCCCTCCTTCTTGCTTCAGCCAAAACCATCTTTTGCTATCATTTATATGCAAATCCTAAAAAATTAGAGGAAGAAAGACACCTTTTTCATACTTTAATAAACGGTTCTTTCAAGCTCCTCTGGAGCTCAGGCTCCGCTCTTTGAAACATAGACGTTCTGTTTAAGTTGCCTGAAAAAGGTCAAATCTCAATTGTTCTTGTCTTGAAGTGGAAAGGCTTCAATTGCTTTTAAAAGGGAAAAGGATGGGAGGAGGAGGAGGCAATAGCTCCTGCTGCCCCCTAAAGGTGACGTTTGATATTGCATCTATCAAATTGGATGATCCAAAAAGTTGAGTTCACTACCGTTGTGTTGTGTGTTGTGTGTCTTCAAGTCATTTCCAACTTATGGCAACCCTAAGGC